AACTGAATGCATACATGTTCTAAAGTTAGCAACAAGTCATCTTTTTATCTTTTAGTTTTAGCATTGAGTCAAACTTATTCAACATGTGCATTAGCACCAAGAAAAGCATAAACTTATAATAGATTAATAGCTATGATTGCTCTTGCCTCCAGTTTAAGTTTTCAGGCTTTCATGAGAACTGAAAGGGGGAAGTTGTTTGCTGAGAACGTGGGTATCAGCTCAGCTCTGCTGGTTTTCAGTGCTGCAAACCAAGCTGTCAAACTGTGAGGAAATGCATTTTAAACGATCTCACTTGGTTCACATCCCTCCCTAACCACATTTTGTTCTCAACTCATTCAGGAAAACATTTTTAGCAAGCCCTTTATCGTTCAAATGCACCCATTAATGAGCTTTGAAATAAAAGAAACTTTCTCTATAGTGTTATCAAATTTTAGGAAATATGAAGTTAAACACTCAAACCTGTTGGTTCAGCTGCATCGAGGACTGAGGCCTCCATACCTCCATATAGGGCGTGCTCTCACTTCCCTAAAAACTCAAGTGAGTTGATGCCTTTATTCACTTGTTTCCTACAAGTTTTAGGATTAATGTCTTTGAGATTTTTTTTCTCAACCTTACCTTAACATGGTTGCATTTATTCTGACCTTTAGGGCAAAATATATGTAAAATTAAATTTTTTTCTGTTGAGCTTGAAAGTGTAATGTAGTCAAGTGGATGTGAAGCTTTCTAGAAGATGTTTAGCCTCTCAGCCAAGAGCCTTCATCAGTTCTAACTGATGTAGATTTGACCAATCAGTGGCCTCCTGTCTGCACTGTCTACAGTCACTTACAATTTTGGAGAGGTGCACCAGAGTGTCTGTGGAAGGGGCGTGGACACATTTGTGTTCACTACGACAAACATGCAGACGACCTGGTTTCCAAGTATAAACCAGCCTTTAATGGTCATTAGGGGTTCTGATGGGTCCTTAACCCCGATTTACAGATGTTTTGGCCACATTCCTCTTTGAAGTATGAGTCAGGAGAGGGCAGGTGAGAGGTCAATCTATTGGGTAGTGTTCTGTTGAAGATTGGGAGGAGGTGTTGGCCTAGTGGTTAGAGCAGTGTGCTTGTGCTCTGAGAAGGTTGAATATAACCTGATTCGATCCTCACAGCCTGTACTCTGGGTCCCTGAGCAAAACTCTAATCACTGTTCCCCGGGTGCCCCACAATGGCAGCCCACGGCTCCCCCAATGGATGGGTTAAATTTAAAGGTGAATTTCTGCAGTGTGAGATCAAAAATGGGGAGTGGTGGCCTAGTGGTTAGAACATTTTGCTTGCAATCCAGAGGCTCTGACTTCAAGGCCAACTCCCACAGACCGCCACTCTGGGTCCTAAAGCAAAGACCCCAAACTGCTCCCTGGGCACCACACAATGGCAGCCCACTGCTCCCCAAGGGGATGGGTTAAATGTAGAGAGTTCATTTCGTTGCTCTGTACTTGTGACAGTGGAATGGCAATAAAAGCTGGGGAAAAAAATAAAACATTAATTAATTTTATTTTATGTTGTTTTAAATAACCGTTATGGACCTTCTTATGTTGAAATATGATGACCAGAGAGGCTCTAGCATAATACTGTAGGCTGTGTGAGAAGGACTGAATGCTGACTGGCTGCTTTGGGGGAGACACCTCCTGGTTGACTTTGGGTTAAGATTTTTAAGTATGCAGGGGCTCTGGGCCGTTTGAACTTGGTTATCAGCTGAATGGTCAACATGTAAAAAGGGCCTAAGATAGGTGAGATCTTCTTCTGCAATTTGTGCTAACATCAAGGAATTTGTTACAGTCAACATGAGTGGAATAAATTTGGTTAATTATTAAACATTGTTTCTTCTTTGTGCGTACTATCTAAGAAATATAACTCCTTGGATTCTGACCGAGTAATCAAGATGATGATCCAACATTTCCTAAAAGTACTTTGTAAGTAAGTGAAAGCATTTTCTCTTTGATTCATTCTTCAATGAGACATGAGACCCAAACCATTCTGACAAGGGACTTAACGACCCATCAGAACCCCCTAATCTCAATTAACACCCCCGCCAGGTGACCCCCATGGCCAATCCAGTAGGGATCAGAGCCACCTTTTGTTTCCTCTAATTCTTTGTTCCATCTACTTTATATTAATCTCAG